TTTTAACTGGCATGCCATTTACACAGCATTGTGAGTATACATGCTCGTGGGGTAGATCAGAAAACCCGATCTTCTATGCAGAGTAGTCTTCATCTAGTGGATCTTGCGGGAAGTGAAAGAGTAGACCGCAGTGAGTCACAGGTGATAGATTAAAGGAGGCACAACACATAAACAAATCATTGTCTGCCCTTGGAGATGTCATCTCTGCTTTGGCACAAAAGAGTCCTCATATTCCATATAGAAATAGCAAGCTCACTCAAGTCCTTCAGGGCTCGTTGGGTATGTTATTTTTTGTCAATGTAATATTGCCTCATATGAGCGAAAATGGATCTAATTCACGCTTTTTTTTGGGGTATATAAAAGCTAAGCAAATGCTCTATGCGTTGTTGTTTCAGCCTCCAAGTTACTTTACGGACTTTCTGCATCTGGTTGGAACATTTGCAGATAAGCTTAGGTTCAAGTATACATGGTAGTATCACTTGGTTCACGTTGCTTTAGTATTTTGTCATGTTTAAACATGCATTGGATGAAAACTTAGTTGGCTGGCATGGTATGACACAAGTTAGTACTTCATGTGAAACTCAGTAAAACTCCTTAGCATTTTCTGCCATAGGACTTTAGGCAGCAAAAAGCTCAGATGGTTTTTTCGGAGATAAGTCCTCGAAGGGGATGATTCTCTTTTCCTCGTATCTTTGGCCTTGCAAGTACGTTTCTTGTGCATTCCTTGTCTAAATGTGCATAGGCCTGAGTAGGCCTCCACACTAATTACTTTCCCTCCATACCCCTCTTCAACCAACGAAACTAAAAGTGGCTGACAATTTATTATCTGCTTAGTATAAACACTGTACTATGTGACAGAATTTTGTAATTTTCAGTATAAGAAACATTGGGGTGCATTTCGTGGGCAATTGGATTACTACAATGACCAGAAAAGTGAAATGCATTTCATTCATTCTTTTTTTTTTTTTTTTTTTTCCATTTTGTGATGCAGGTGGAAATGCGAAGACTCTCATGTTTGTGCAACTTAACCCTGAAGTTAATTCTTATTCAGAAACTCTAAGTACCTTGAAATTTGCTGAAAGGGCATCTGGAGTTGAGCTAGGTGCTGCTAAAAGCAGCAAAGATGGCAGGGATGTTAGGGAATTGATGGAGCAGGTAGTGTTTATTTCTTTCTTCAATTCATATAGACATTATGAAATTCTAAGATTTTTTTTTACTGGTTTTCATGTGTGTTAGGAAATTTTGTTTTCATAAAGGATTTCAATTATATACTGTTGCATGGAAATTCTAAAAGAAATCCAGTTGAAAAAGTATAACTGGACTCTTGGCTGCGTTGATGAAAACAAACAACTACAGACGTTGAAATCAAGAGAGTCACTTATAAAGAAATTTGTGTATTTTAGTTTCTAGTCTCTCCTATTTTCGAGTAACTTTGATATTCTTGGAGATAACTTTTCATATATGCGGTATGTCATTCCGAATGTTGCAGGTTGCATCCCTAAAAGACACAATTGCGAAGAAAGACGAGGAAATTGAGAGATTACAACTCCTCAAGGATCTCAAAAATGTGTACGCTGGAGCTAATAATGATGCAAATTCACTGAGGTATGGGACTCCTCAACGAAGCATGAAATTATCTGGTGAGGAAGGCTCAGGACTAATAGAGAAAGCAGCTTCTGATGAAGATAACTCAGAGGGTAGTGATAAACATTCTTTAGATAGTTCCAAACCAATGATTTTAGAGATATAAAAAAGAATCCCCCCCCAGCAATCCAAGACTGCTGGAGGGTTAATATAGGTCAACATTTTTCTGCTGAGGCTGAGGCCTTGGAACCCAGCAATGCAGATAATTTGCAAAGAAAGACTGATATGTCTGATATTTGTGTTTCTTTGGGCACAGAAACTGATGGCTCAGTGGAAAGAAGTCCCCTTGCTGAAGGAGCAAGGCGATCTGAGAATATTGATAAGTAAGTGTATAATTAACTAGCCAATTCAATATTTCATCTTGTTTTCTCAGAACCTTCATAATACGCGTAACGATTTTAGTGCTTTCTCCTATTCTAAACGAGACAATATAATTAGTCTTTATACGTTTTATCTTACAGTTTTCTGAAAGCATCCATGTAACAAACTACTAGGAGAATATTTACTGTTTATGCATGTGCCTGAAGTTCTTTTTCAAGTAATTGAGGATATGGTGTTCTAAATTGTCTAACGTTAAACCACTGATAGTAGAACGAACACTCTCCTTCCTTCACCCCTTATTTTCTGAAATATTAAAGCCAAAGTACCTTGCCATCATTCTTGTTCTTTTGTTCCTTGCTATAACTTTTCACAGCTAATGAAGAATTCTGCCACTTTTCGGACATTCGACCACTTTGATTCGATCAGATTAAGTCATGCTTTAACCATGTGGTTTCGGCTTTCATACCACTTAAATAGGTCAGGGACTATGTTACCTTAGCTTTACTACTTCTGCAGTTATGCAGTGGCGATCAGGTATTTGACTGGCTCGGGATCTTTGATCATTTGTTCTCAAATCATCTTTTGCAGATTGAAAATAGTAGTTAGATCACCTAGAGCAGGAGAAAAATCACCAAAGGAGTCTCCAAGAGTCTCAACTGGTACGCACAATGGTGCTCTATAGATTGCACTGCTATGCTTTTTGCATGAATGGAATGAGCTTCATTTCTGCTGATGTTTCTTTTGAGACTTTCTCTGCATTTACTCAGGATTGAAGAAATCAGCCAGTGGAGCCAATTTATCACCTAAACCTCCCACTCCCAGAAGGTGGCAATGAGAGGAAGCAATTTTACAAAATTTCAATTTGATTCAAATGTACAGTTTGGTCACTAACTTTTTTAACTTTTTTATGCCTTGATGAAGAATCCTTGGCCAGTGCCTTGTGCTGGCAGTTTTGCATCTCTTATTTTTAGTTAGGACGTTCAGCTCAGATTGTAAGGTTCATAAAAGCTGTAGGACTTCTTTCTCTCCAAGTATACATAACAATGCTAGCAAAGGAGTTGTTACAAGAAAGCTACATTTATTAATATATATCAAGTTAAACATTTTCTTAGTTCTGATGCCCAGAGAGTTCAATTTATGTACTCCACTTTCATCGCTGCATGCATTCTGAGTAAAAAAGAACGTGCAAAAGTTGTAAAGTAAGCAACTCATATTGGAATAAGCATTTCTTGAGTAATACTTTGTCGTGCAGCGGAATTTGAAATCCCATAAAGTGTCTGCAAAAATTAACATACAAAAGGATTACGAAATCCTTTGATGCTTCCTAAACAATATTATCTCGTGAAAGTTGAGAACTCGTGCGTTTTACTCTAGAACTATTAAAGCTAGAAATAGAAATCTCCCTTCTTGTGACGAAATCATAATAAGTTGAGTGAATTTTATGTACACCGACCGGCAATGTATATATCATCGTCGTTAGCTTCGAATTCAAATTTTATATAACATTTACTCATCCAAGATTAATCTTAATACGTTTCTGTTTAGCGATTAGCTAGATGGAGCACAGTAATTAATGACGGCGAGGCAAGAGACAAGACAACTTGAGTTTAGAATCTTCGCTACTGAATCCAATATAAGATTCGAACTACTTTTCGCTCGCTCTCTTAGCATTAACCAGCAATGCATACATTATCAATATATAAAAAATTATTCTTAATACGTTTCTATTTAGTCGTTTATATACAGTATATATATATATATATGTATATATTAAAAAAAAGGTGATTAGCTAGATGGAGCATAGTGATTAGTTGAGTTAAGAATCTGCATCAACGAATCCAATATAAGATTTGGACTTTCCCTCAAGTAGCGGAGAAAAGAGAGTACCAAGGGGGAGCCCCCCTTTATTGGAAATGGACATGGTCCAAATCCTAGACCATTTCTTAGTCCCCGGACTCTTTTATTAGTGGTCTGTCTGCTAGGTGGCAGCCAACCACCAGCAAAGCCAGCCTAGCCATTAGTCAGCATTCAAGTCCTCCCAACTAAATATATATATTAACACGTAACACCATACCCCACTGTCTCCCCCAACCCACCCCCCCCCCCCCCAAAAAATCTTTACAAAACATTACAAAATTCGGACATATGGAAAAGGTTATCATACTGCTTATAAAACAAACAAGAGAGAAGAAAATTCGTCCACGTAGTCTCCAATGTTTCCCTTCACCCGAAGAAAAAAAAAAAAATATATATATATATATATATATATATATATATATCCCACCTGCTTTTGGACAAGTTGGCATCTCCCACCTCCTTTCCACCAATTTAAAAAAATCTCTTTGATACTTTTGGACCTCCATACTTTATACATCTACACTTTATATAAAGAAGAGAAGAGAAGAGAAGAAAAGAGAGAGATGAGAATTTGCGATAAAACATTTTTTTTTTCATTTTATATACTTTCAATTTTATCCTTGCTAAAATCACTTATTATTTTACTATCTAAATATAAATTGTTGAAATATCTACCTATAATTATTTTTAATCATAATTAATTTAAACACATCTTAACAAAAATTACTGTAAAACCATCATTTGAAGGGAGTAAAAAAAAATCACAATTTGCTTTAATAATGAAAATTTTATATAAATTGAATTCATCTGAAATACACACATTATTATTATCATATATCATACGTGGCTTGTAGCACCAGCACTAATAATTCAACCACTTCCTAGTAGAGAGTAGGCTACTAGACTAGGAGCGGCGAAGATGAGCGAGCTTTTGAGAGCCAGGCAACGTAAAAACAAATCAATAATAAAAGTTAGAAGAAATTATTGTCAAGAGCAAAAGTTGAACAAGCAAAAATTAGCCGACCCCACTGACATTACTATCAACGATAATAATAATAAAAATATTTTATTATTATTGAGTTGAGCATTGCAGTAGAACCACGTGATCCCACGCATGATTTGTACAGATTAATTAACAATTGTAACATGTCCACCAACAAAAAAAAAAAGAAAAGAAAATTGAAGGGAAAATTCCCAGGAACTTGATAAAAAGACCATCATGTCCTTGCCTTCGAATCACAATTACAATGAAGGACAAGAAAGAAGGCAAACTTTATCAATTACAAAAGTTTCTCTAGTGCTTTCTTACTCCAAAGAGCCAAATTCATGGCCTAGAAGCACAAAACCTAAAAATCATCATAAGCAAAGAGAAGCATGAAATTGCCATACCTTCTCTTTGCTTTTTTATTGTTGTTTCCTTGGATCAACTTCCTCATTACATATTCACATTCACTCTCCTTTTTTTTTCTCCTTAAACTCCTCTATTTACAAAACTAAACAAAACAATAATATAATTTCTTCCTCATCAATCCCCTCTCCCTCACTCTCACTCAATCCCTTTTTTGTTTTTTTAACCTTTGACATATGGGCTAAAAATCTTCTCTACACCTGTTTGTTATAATCATATAATATGTTATGTTTTGAGGTAAAAAAAGGGCTTTCAATTTTTCTCTTTTTTTTTAGGCCATCACAGCAGAAATGCCGCGACAGTTGAAGCCCTCAATTCTCACCGGAGCTGGCTGATTCCCACATTTCACGCGGCCAGATGATCCTCCTCCGCTGTTTTTTCGCGACGGCGGCGAAGCTGACGATCCCATTGGAGGAGATGATAGCGGACTCATCTTCCCAATCCCAAATTGTTCATCTTGGATTAAAGGATTTGAGGCTCTAACCGGTGGTGATCCATTGAAAAATGGAGGAGATGAAGCCACCTGAAAATTGGGCTTCTCAGCTCCAGCTCCATAATTACCCTTTGAAAAAAAAAAAAAAGAAGTCAAATTCAAAATCTTGATCAAGATGCCCAGCCCACACATATTAAGGTCAAAACATTTATTCATTTAACAAAACGCTTTGAATTTGAGGAATCTCGACAACAATACTAATACTATACTATCAGAGCAGCTAATTTTGGTACTTAATTAAAATTGAAACAGCCAAACCAGAGATGCAGAGACTATATACGGCCCGCTTAGGATTCCCTAAAGAAATTATTTTAAAAGGGCTCAAAATAATTTTCAGGGGAAAACTTTACATGAGCGCTGTACTTGATGGGAAAAATGATGACAAAAGAAACACTCTCTTTTTTTTTTTTTTCCTAAAACGTAAAAAAGAAACAAATATCAAAATCCTTTTAAAGAGGATTTAAAAATCATAACACGGAGAACTAGTCCTTCCGTAGAAAATAAGAACAGAATTCTACCTTTGCAAGAATTATGTCCAGGAGCTCTGATCCTGCCCTTGACTCGCAGCTCTCCATCTGTTGATTACTGTAACATGAACCAAAAAAACACAAAATAGTGAAAAAAAAATTAAGAGATATTAGAAGAAACCAAACCAATATCAACAAAAAACTTTACGGCCAACAAAAAAAAAAAAAGGAAGAAAAAGAAATGAGAAAGGCAAGGAACATAGTACTTGGTATGAACAATTCTGGAGGGTCTGACATTTATGGGGTCATTATTAACAAGTCGACGAGGCTTAGGACATACGACGCCGTTTGGACAAGCAGCAGCCGTAGACGACGAAGAAGAAGAGTTGAAGAAAGAGTCTCCTCCAACTCCAACATAATTACTCATTCCCAAACCCAATCCCAATCCCAATCCCACCAAGGCTGCCTTCTGCTGCTGGCTTGGATATGCACACCTATTCATCTTTCTACTTTCAGTCTATTTTCTCCTTCACAGATCCAAGCCTATGCAAAACAAAAACATGTTCACGAATCCCACAAAAATTAGTCATGCCCAGATCAAAAAGAAATGAATTCCAGAAATGATACAGAAATTGGAGAAAATAATAACAATTACATACTATTTTTAGTATAAAATAAAAGTGGGAAAATAACCGGCTTTAAAAGAGAGAAAGGGAGACAGAGGCGGACCTTGGTGGTGGGAAGAGGAGAGAGAGAGAGAGAGATGGAGCAAAGGAGGGCTAGGCTGAGAGAGAGAGAGACGAGGGAGACGGGGAGAGATTTTTGGTGGGACGAACGAAGAAGAGGGAGGGATAAGAAAATGGGTGGGCTGGCTATTCATAGACGGGACGGAGCACAGGCTCCAGGGTGTGATGACTGATGAGGACAACTGTGGATGGATTGGTACGGCAAACATTTTTGTGATTCGTTCTGTGATGCACGTGCACGTTCTCTGAGTCAGCCAATTTTACCTTTTCTTTTGCGCCCTTTTTTGTTTTTTACAATTTGGAGGGATGATTATCTAGAAAAATTTTTTTGTATTGGTATTTACTTTAACATTTTTGTGACGAGTAATAGAAGGTGGTAAAAAATAATAAATTTTTAATAAAATAACTTTATTCAAACGAAATCATTGCTTAAGAAATTGAGTGAGAAAATTAACGATTTGAGTTGAGTCTAATTGGTACGAAAATTTATCTTGTTTGAGTTTGGTTTGGTTTGAAGTAGTGCAACATAAGTGCAGTTATCCTTCTCCTAATTTTTTTTTTGTTGCCTTACCATTAGATTCTGCTACTTATCTTTGTGAAAAATTCTTTTGTTATTGTGGCATAACTAAGAATCTAAAAATATAAAGTGAATTAAACGGAATATTTTATTTGGATTGCAGTTTATTTGCTAAAATATATTTACTTACATCATCATTACAATTTCCAACACACATTTTTATCTTCCCAATTACCTTTTTATCTCACATACATCACATCACAAAAAGTACTACAGTAAAAATATCTCTAATAATTCACAATCCAAACAAACCCATCATATTTTACATATATCACATCATAAAAATGTTACAGTATCATTTTGTTTAACAACTCATCTATAATAATCTACTATTCAAGGCATGAGATTACGAGAGGTTCCGTAAAGAAAAATTAAAAATGGGGAATCGCCAAATCTTTCTTATCAAATTAAGGGATTGGTCGCCTTAAACATAAAGATGGCTTGTTCTTTTCTCATCATTAGATAAAGTAAAACTCCACACGCTGGTGTCAAGTTTCTATCGTCCAGATAAGAATCCATATGCCTGGAGGCCATGAAACACAGAACCAACAACCGTTTTGCGTCAATTTTTACTTTCCACATTAAGGTTTGCCTATTGCAGACGAAGTTGACTTGCTCAAGATTGAAACTCAAGATCAGCACGAAACCCCAAGTAATTAAAAATCAAGATTTACTTGTTTCATCTCTACTGGAAAAACTCCCATTGAACCTATAAACAAATCAAGCGTCAGGATCCTTTGATAATTAAATTGAGAAGTACTCCCTCCCTTTTTTTATAACTGACGTTTAAGGTTTTGCACACCAATTAAGAAAAGTTTTTCATTGTTTAAATCTATACACTACTTTCCTTTTGTACCCTCATTAATTATCCAATTCACCCATGTTTTCTCTCACTAGAATATTAAATGGTGCTGTTTTACTAGGCCAAAAGCAATGCAAATTAACTCTCACCAATTATGAAAAGAGAGATAAAATGATAAAATTGTGAAAAAATAATTAATGCTGCATAGGGATAATAAAACGACAGATAAAAGTACTTAAAAGCAAATTTCTTAAACGCCAGTTATAAAAAAAGGGAGGGAGTAATAAATAAGGTGTACTTAACAGGATCAATTAAAGAAAGCCAAAAGTACATTAAATAAAGTGACCGAAGAACGAAGAGAGAGGAGAGCCCATTTGGTTTGTAGCATACAGCAGCAAGGCCAGCACTCAACAGTAGAATGAATGTAGGCCAAAGAGAGCGTTGTTACGTAGTCGTGTAGTGCATGTGATTCCGCTCCAAAGTGAGAAAAGACAAATCAGATTTGCAGCTGGGGACGCAAAAATATTACTACTAAACATTGGTTATCTTTGCCTTTTTCTCTTTGTTTGCTTTGGCATTGATTCCTCGGCAGGCCATTTTGATTTTGCCCACAAATTTTTTCGGTTATCGATCTCTATATGTGTATCACATTTAAATGCTCTTCAAATTCTGGGTCTTGTTTCTTTGCCCATGCGCATTCAAATATGGGCTAAAGAAAAAGCAAAGACGGTTTTAGAGAAGTGCAGTTTGCATGGTGATAAGGTGGATGATAAATTAAAGGGTTATCATCACTTTATTTCTTAATGTTTGGTGCTACTGTCGATTTCTTTCTTAACGTTACCTTTTAGTCACTTTAACCCAAAACTAGAGGTCAAATTTAACAGAATTTGTTAATTAAAATGAAAAGACGTGTTTAACCCTTAAAATTATTATCACTTTACCCCGTATACTATAGTCTCATTATCAATTTACTCCATAAAATAATTTTTTAGAAAATTTACCCCACCATTAAATTAACTTAGCAAATTAAAAAACTTTAGAAGAAAGTACCCTCCTCTTTGTATAATAAAAATAATAAAAAAATTAGAGTAGCTCTTCTCCTTTTTAGTATCAAGAAAAGAAGTCAAAGTTTTAATCTCTTTCTTCTTGACAATTTTATTAATATTGAAAAAAATAGAAAAATTGGGACTGGGACAGGGACGGGGACGGGGAGAGATAGAGATAGAGAGAGAGAGGGAGAGCTCAAAATTTTTTTTAAAAAAATACAAATAAGAACGAATTAAATACTTTTATTATTTTAAATTATTCACTTTTTTGTTACCACCAAATTTCAATTCTAATTCCGACAACTTTAAATTAATATGATAATATTAGATTTTTCTTTATTTTCTTTCTTTGCAAAATCTAATTTTTTGGCTCCTTCTTTCCTATCTCTTTTTCTTTTCATAGTATTAATAAGTTTGAAAAAAGAAATTTGAGAAAACCCATTTATTTTTATATTTTTGAATCGCTTAATGTGAAAAAAAGGAAGAATAACCTTTTCAACTTTTTTACTTTTAAGTTGGGAATTTGGTCCATCTTGTCGTTAATCACAGACCAGTTTTAGTTGACTAAATCAGCAAAACTAAGACTTGTGATCAAAGTTGACAAGCCTCAAAGAAGCTTTAGCTTGTACGCTAAAATGCAGTTTGGACAGTACTCATATTAGGTGCAATCAACAATGCGATTATTATAGTCAGGTGGTGCTACCATTGCTTTAAAAGAAAAAAGGGTTGTGGTATACCAGGATTAATTAACCATTTCGTTCATCTCATAATTATACAATAAACAGATACACCAATAAGATTGGGACAATATTATCCATCACGAAACTTATCAGATCTTTTTACATATATGGTCAAAGATTTTACGTGTATATAGGATTAGCTACTGGAACAACGGCAACACTGGGGAATGCTTGCTTGCTTGCTTATATATGTATTTAACCATGAAGGACAAATGGTAATGAATGAGTTCGAATCTTGGGTGCAACTGGCAAATCCAATTCATGCAGGGTATTGTCATTTTCGCACTTTGTGGAGCGGAACAAGATGAGGGATAGGCCGCTCCCCCCCTCTACTTTTGCTGACGCTATCACCAAATAAAAGAGCAAGAAGCAGAAGCAGTAGTGGCACTCCTCCTGATCTCTGACCATTCAAGAAACGGATAAATAAATAAATAATAATCCAGGTCCCATTTGTGAATCATGATTCTCTGAGTTTCTTGCTTTTCTCGATTGTGGCTTCCACTAACACTTTCCATCCATGGCACCTCCCTTTTCTGCATAAATGAGTTTAGTCTTTGGAGGAAGAGCTCAGAGTATGTCCTATTTGAATGGTTATTTTTTGAGGTTTTTGTAGCAATATATATAATATATATATATTTCATTTTAAGCCAATATGGTATCTCACTTTTATGCATGAGTGAATTTAAACTTTGGAGGGATGTCCCATTTGGATTGTTATTTTTTTGGGGATTTTTATTAAAAAAAAAAATGTACGATAATAATTTAATATATGTGAAATAGAAAGGTCATTGAAAGATATATGAAGCATACAAATTTATCTTTTGAAAACTGTAATCCAAACAGGACCACGTAACTTACCTGGATAAACATAAGTTTCAACTTCAATGGCTGATTCTACTTTGTTGCATATTCTATAGGATTGGAAAATCACTCTAAAGTAATTATAGAAGCCATGAAAGTTAAAGCTACACACATAAATTCAAAATGTTACTTGTGGTAATCTTTAAGCCATGAAATTTTTGATAATCATCTATTATATCCGGAGTAAGTATGCCTATATTATATGGAAAAGGCAAGAAAATATAGAGTGAATCTTTACTGTACTAAAAGCGGGAGTTGGGATTGTGAACAGTGCCTCGTGGTCCGGTTATGCTGTTATTTGTGTGAGCTTAAGGGGCATTTTGGTCGTTTGTCATTCGGTGGTAGTGGTTTTGCTGGGAATTTGCTCCTGTCCGCGTGTTTCTTTGCTAAAGTGTGTCTTCTGATTCTTAGCAATTTGCTGGTGCATTCATGTGTCCACTTAGCTCGGTTGTAAGCTGCTCGGCACATGGTCCTCTTCTTTGCTTACATAAGATTGTGTCTTTTTTTTTTTTTTTTTTACAATCAAATTGTTTATGTTTTTGTGCATTTTATTTCAGTAGGTTCACGTTGAAAGTAGCATCTTACATTTCCACTGTTTTGCATATGTAGCTTTATGAAATATTCTTTAATTATCTTACATTTCAACCAAGAGTTTCAGAATATACAGTATACACTGAGTTTATTTGGATAGGAGTTTATTTGATATAATTACTGTAGCATATTTTATGATGTGATATATGTGAGATAAAAGGTGATTGGAATTTGTGAAGCAAATTATTTTTTTCAAATCATTTCAATCCAAACACACTCACCATCATTTTTGGATACATGTCATATATACAAAAGTTGATATTAGAATTCAAATTTGGATTAAATAATATGCATTAAAATGTGAAAATGTATACTGTCAATATAAACAAGAGGGTCCTCCTATTTTGGAAAAAAATTAAAAGAAATATGAAGGAATCCCGTGGCCATGTAAACATTTTTTCTTTTTTTTGGCAATAGGATAAACTTTCTTCATAAAAAAAATGCAATTTAAGAAATGGATTATAGTTTTTAAAATTTTACAGTAGTCTCAATTTTTCTTTCGAGTATGAAAAAATGATTCTATAAATACATATTTTCGGATTTTAAACATGAGTTTGTTACTAAAAATA